ATTAAGGAACATAGACGTTGAAAAACTTGCCCAAGGGCCACCAGGTAGTGTTGAGACCAGGATTCAAACCCAGGCTGTCTGGCTGTACGTTTGTGTGCTTAATCCTTCTTCTTGGCATTACCCACTTCCTTCTACCTCAATGGCATTCCATCAGGCCTCTCTTGCATCGGTCCTTCATTCATCCTTCCTCCCTTCCTCACCCAAACCCCCTTCTAATGCTCTTCCATTAAATGAAATTGGTTATGCTTGAAAACACCTAGTGGCTCCCTACTGCCCACAGGATAAAATCCAGGCTTCTTCGCTGGTCATTCCAAGTTCTACGTAATCTGACCTGGCCTCATCTCCACCATCACATCCAGTGCTGATCTTCCCAGAGTTCCCTTTTACAACAGTGGGCTTCACTCCACTGTCTCCTATGCCTGGAATATTCTTGCTGCCTGTTTCTGCCAGTCGAACTCCCTACTCTTCCATTGTCACCCACTTTGGACAACATCTCTTTGGTGGCACTGTCAGGCAGCATCCCAGAGCTTGGTACTCGTATGTCTCTTACGGAATTCCCTGCAGAATGCATTGCAATTTATCTTCTTACAAATGACATGTTCTATCCAGCCCTTAGGAATGACTAAATACTCAAAGAGTGAATGGGTGGCCCCAGATCCAGGCTGCTGAGTCCTTCTGTCTCTGCCCCTTAAATTTCAAAGAGTCCTTTCACTGGATCACACAAGAACATAAAGGCTGGAAAGATTCCATATGACACACTCTTCCTCACTCTCTACAGCTCGGGGTGAAGAAATGGACACTCATCCCCATTTCACTTCAAAGAAAAACATGAAAGGAAAGTGGAAGTCAAACCAAACAGAACACAGCATGAGAAAATTGAAGGGACCGTACCATACACATTGCAGGGAACTTAGAGATGATCTCATGCAAACGTCTTCATGTTACCATAAGCAAACTGAGGCCCAGAAAGGAGAAGAGGATTGTATAGAGTCACAGCAGCACTGGTACACAGGCCTTCTGACTCCCTGTCCAGGGATCTGGGCGTAACTTGTTGCCTCTTAGCTCTGTCTTCTCTTCCCTGGGGACTGAGGGTGGCCCAGCTTCTGGGCTCATGGGTCGCCTCACAGTTATCTCCCAAACAGGCTCAGGCTGCTTTCCTGGGACCAGGAAATGAACAGGCTCAGCATGAAACTTCCTCATGAACCAACTTCCCTTGTTCCTGCAACCTCAGGATGGCAGATCACCCAGAGCCTGACTGCAGTTCCCAACTGCACCCACTGGCTTGGGGCCTTCCAACCCGAGCATCCCCAAGGGCAGCGGCTCATCCTTGGCTCTCCCGTGACTGCCACCCGCTTCTCTGTATCAGACACCGAGGCTGCTCTGATACAACACTCTTTCCTCCCCTCCCCACGCCCTCCACCTCCTATTCCCTCCTAGTTAGTCATGGTGAGGTCACATTCAGCAGCTGGCTCCCAGGCCTCTCCCTAGGGACAGGGGGAGGGAGCTGAGAGATTGCAGAGGAGGGTGCGGCAAGGCATCATGGGAAACGGGAGCTCTGCAGCCAAAGAGATGTGGGTTCAAGTCCTGGCTCTGCCGGGTGACTGATCGTGTGACCTTCGGCAAATTACTTAATATCTCAAACCTGTTGCCAAATAAGGTGGCGCTGCCTGGGAGGCAATTTCCTGACCTGTATAAGGGGGATAGTCATGCTTGGTGTATAGCGAGAAGAAGTAAATGAGATAAACTGCCCAAGCACTGTGCACAGAGCCTGGGGGTCTGCAAACGTGGGTTGGTCTCCCTCGCTATGAAGTGTGAGGGCGTCACTGTCAATGCAGGGGCCTGAGAAGTCCTGGGTGCCCACCTGCAGGCCGGCAGAAACGGGACCCAAACCCAGGCCTTCTGACTCTGTTTCCAATTCTCACCTCTCTGCTGCACTCTAGGGCCCATTGTTGCTTCTTGCTTGTTTCCAGGTAAGACTTCCTTCTCCCCAAAATCCTCCCACTGGCTGCTTCTGACGTCACATCCTTTCCTAGCCTTCAGCCCCCGTCTTCCCATCAGCTGAACTTTCCTCTCCCTCCATCACCCTTCTCTTTACCCATCAACATCCATCCAACCTGCAGTCCACCCAGCATCACCTTCCCCTGCCTTAAGCCCTCTCGGCTAACTTGAACCTCCCAACTTGCTTTCGTTTAAAGGCACCAAGCTTGTGTCTACATTGTCCTACTGAGCTGGTTTTTGCCCTCCTTCCTGAGCTCTTTCTGTTCTGTTTCTCCTGTTTTGTCTTCTCTCTTTTTCTTTTAAATCAGGAGTTCTCTGAGAAACCCAACCCTCCATCCTCTGTACCGCCATCAATTCCTTTACGCACAGCCAGTCCGCGCAAACAGACTTGCCCAAGAGGCTGCTCAGCTTTGATGGGAAAAGAGCTGTTGCCTTAGACTCCGGACCACACCCGGCATACAGCTAGTCCTGCACAGGTGCTGCGTCGCCAGCTCTCTTCTGAGGGCATAGTGAAGAGGTGGCCCCAACATCAGATTATGGGTTGGAGGAGGGGTTGGATGAAAAGGCCCTTGAAAGGCCCCTTCCAATCCTGAAAGCTATGAGTCTATGAACAAGCACCCTTAAATTTGCCTTAATCTTTTTTGTGTCCCCCACACTTGACATAATGTAAGTGACCCCCAAAATCTACAGAATAAAGGCTTTCTTCTGAACGTCCTTACCTGCCTGTTGAAATCTAGGCCGTTTCGATCATTTCCTAGAAGAGATGAAAAAAAGAAAACATTAGCAGCTGGCAGGATTGGAAGAGACTGAAGTTCGAGGAAAATAGGATGCTGGGACGGGCTCATCTCTATTTTGAAAAAGAACACTTGCTTCCTGCCCTGTGGCCAGACTCTTCCTGCTTATCCTGCTGCCTGGAAAAGTCCTTGGAAAATCTCCTTCAGGGAGGTAGGTAACCAGGGAAAGGGGAGACTGACTTGTCCAAGGTCACACGGTGTCTACTGGGATTAGAACTTGCTGCCCCAGAGTGCTTCTGCTGAGCTGCCTCAGACAGAGGCTGTGACACACGCGTTTATGGAAAAGCAAGGAATGACCAGCCATGGATCCTAAAGTAACTATCGAAGGCAAGAAGCCCTTCTGCTATCCCAGCCCTCCAGAGGTGATGACACTTAAACCATGTCAGGTAGAGTAGACAGGTGTCACTCCTGTTTCTATCCCCCTCTCAACTTTCATTCTGTGTTTTGCTCATCTTTTTCCTTTCAGAATAAATGTTGGGTTGAAAAAGTAAGTGTGTGCTTAATAGAGAAAACTGTTTGGTACAGAAAAAGCATAAAGTGGCAAAAAAAAAAAAGTCAATCTGTGGAGAGGTAGCTGTAATTAATATTTTTGTATATTTTATGGTCTTTTTTATTCTTGTTTTTCCTCATTCCACCCTATATAGATTTTTATTCTCATTTTTTCAATGAACATCATAAATCTTTCTCCTACACAATTAAGGAGCATCATAAATCTTTCTCCTATGCTTGCAGAGATCATTTTTAATGGCTACATAATATTCCATTTATGGATATACCATAATTTGTTTAAACATATACCTATTATGAGGGAAATTGCTTCCATTCTTTGCTATAATTAAGTTTCCTATTCATACAGCTCTTTAGGGGAGGAGCTGCCAAACAATCTTCCTTTCTGCTCCATGAATTATTGGCTCTAGAATGGCAAGAAAATGATATTGAATACCATACACCCAGAGCCTAGCATGGAGCTTAGCACATAATAGGAGTTCAAATTATATTGGTTGAATGAATGAATACGTGAACATGTGAATGAATTCAGACCCTTCAATCAGAAAATTCTTCTGCTTTCCATTGGTTCTTCAGTAGCTTTGGAATGAAGTCCAACTTTCTCAGTACAACATATAATTCCCTGTGTGACTTGGTTTCTGCCTACCTTCGCTGCTTTGTCTTCTGCTTCTCAGGATCTCACCTTCCTCCCTCCCAGGTACCCTGTGCTCCAGCCTCACGGAATGCTCGCTCATGTCCAAACATGCCACATTCTTGTGTTTCCAGGCCTCCATGCACTGTTCCTTTTTACAAAGTTGATCCCCCTCCCCTCTGGTCCTGAAACCCTCTCTATCAGCCACATGGCATATGTCATGTCACTCCTTATTTGTCTGCACAATTCTTTCTCCCTCTAGTCTATGATCTCCTTGAAAGCCAGAATGATGAAATCCATTTTTGCGTCCTCAGTGGCCACCACAGTTCCTAACATGGGTCGGAGGCTCAAGAAACGCCCGATGGATGAATGAATGGGATCCAAGAGAATCCTCTGGAGCTTTCACTTAAGCCCCCCTCCCTCTGCTCTGTTCTAAACAATGATGGGTAAGTGTGGCCCACGCCTGCACGATTGGTTGTGAGGCATCCCTAAGAGCAGCTAGGCCAGCAAGGTGGCAAGAGAGACTGAGGGATATGGGCGTCTGAGAAAGAGGAAACTGGAGAGACAGGAAGTCATCTCTGAAGAGCAGCCTGATTTTGAGATGAACTAAGACTAAATATGTAATCGGTGAGGGGAGCTAAAGATGGGAAGGGCCCACAGATTGAAAATAGTTATGTTAGAGGGTAGACTTAAAGATAAAATAAATATTAGCATTTTGGGTCTTCATCTGTCTGGGTTGAGCATGAAGAAGAAACTGCTGCCTCAGGGGCATTTTCAGCACAGCCAGGATTCAGACACTTGTGATACAGACCCCAACACGAGCTGGAGACCCCAACACCACCAGGCTGGGGCGTTGTGTGTGATTTTTACCCAATATCAATGTAAGACTACTGAAGGAGTATTTCTGAATAGTATTGGCTAATGGATTAAGAATTCTGTACAGTGCTAAGGCTTGGTGTGGCTGGAGACCAGGAACAGATTGTCATGAAATGCTGTTTCTTCTTCCTTTTCCTCCTCCAATTCATGCAATGAATGTATTTCCAATACTTAGGTATTATTAAAACAAGTGACGCCTCTTCAGGAGGTATTGTGATCTGTTAGATCAGTTGTCTATACTGCAGTTTGATGTAATACTGCCTGAGAAGGAACCCCCCCCCCGCCATCGGTCCCTTAACGCCTCTTTCTCTGTGACACGGTGAGGCCGCTCCTGTTGAAAGGTTGTAGTTTATAACCCCAGTCAGAGGTGAATAACTGATCTTTTTGCTGTTTCAATGAAATTAATTTATGAGAAAAAAATAAAATATAATAGAAATACAAGATACATATAAAACTGCTTTTATATTTAAAAAAAGTCTGTTCATGACATTGTAAAAGTGACCTAATAAGGAATAATTTTAAAATTTAACAAAAGAGCAAATTCATTCATTCCACAAGGATTTGCTAAATACACTCTCTGTACCAGGCTCTATTCGAGGCACTGAAAACACAACATTGGAAAAGACAGACAGAAGTCCCTGACCACATGGAGCTTTTTTTTCTGGTTGAGGAGGCATAAAGGAATAAGAAACAAATATGTAATTTTATATATATTTTTTAAACTTAAATTTTATTTTGTGGGGGGAGGTAATAAGGTTTAATTAGGTTTATTTACTTACTTATTTTAGAGGAGGTACTGGGGATTGAACCCAGGACTTCATGCATGCTAAGCATGCACTGTACCACTTGAGCTATACCCTCCCCCAACAAATATGTAATTTTATTTAGAAGCAATTACTGTGGGGAATAATGCTACATGATCAAGGTAAGAGTGTGTCAGAGGCTGTTCATAAGCAGGGTCTGGGGAAGCCCGTTCCAGACAGCGGGATCTGGACCTGAGTGAGGCGAGAGCAGGCTTGCCTGCAGAGGAACAGCAATGAGGCTGGCACGGGGTGGGGGGGAGAAGTGGATGGGTGTATCTGGGACAGATGATGTGGATCTGGCAGGCAGGTTGTGGTGAAGATGTCAGCTTTCATGCCAAGGACATTGGGAAGTGATCAGAGGGTTCTGAGCAGAGGAGTGACACAGTCTGACCTACGTGCTTACACCTGCAGTGATGAGCTGTAGAGGGGAGAGGTGGGAAGGGAGCACAACCAGGGGGCTATCAGACTGGGTCAGGGGAGGCAGGGCAGTGCCCAGGCTAGAAGGGCAGCCCTGGAGCGGGTGAGAAGGACCTGGATTTAGAATACATTTTGAATAGATAGCCGATAGGACCAGCTGATGGATGGGAGGTGGGGTGTACAGGAAGGAGCGGAATCAAGGATGATTCCTAAGGTTGGACTTTTTCCATAGAGAGAGTGGTGGCACCATCCCCCAAGATGGCGGAGACACAGGGAGGAGCGAGCAGGTGGTAGAAAATCAAAAGCTATGTTTGGGGACGTGTGAAGTGTGAGATGCCAGTTAAATATCTCAGGAGAGGAGAGGAAATGTGTATGGACTCAGGAAAGGTGTCAGGTAGGAAGTACAGGGTGGGTAGTTATCAGCCTAAAGGTGGTATTGAAGGATGTAGGACTTGATGAGTTTACAAAAGAACCGAGTCCAGATGAAGAAGAAGATGAAGGTCAAGGTTGGGAATGATAAGAAGGAGCCAGCAAAGGAGACTGAGAAAGATTGGCTACTCAAGTGGGATGAAGCCCGGGCAAGCATGGTGTCTGGGAGGCAAGAGAAGGTGTTTCCAGAAGGAGGTGATAAGAAACTCTTGAATAAGACCCAGAAAGGAAGAAAAACACTTGGGGGCCAAAACAGCCTGACTTGAAGGTCCTTAGGGCTGTGAACAATTTAAAAAGGTCTTTGCTTCTGATTTCTGTGATGCCATTAGAATGTTGTTTGTGAGAGCCACAAAATGTAAACACGAACAAGCAAGTGTTCAGAGAGTAGGTTTAAAACTCACCAGTCAACAAAAGTAACAATTTCTCTTGCCCAGGAGTGTTTCCATGGCCTTTCCCCAGAGGCCTCTCAGCATGAGGACGCGCCTGCTGCACCTGGAGCCTGAAGCTGGGGTTCCCTGTTCTCTGTATCACTGCACCAATATCACTGTCCAATCTTCCTAGAGTCCCAGGCTGACCACATGGCTGGCCTGGAGGCGCCTGGGCCGGCCAGGGCCTCCCCTGGGGGACCAGCCCCATGACACCCCAGGAGAGCAGAGAGTGGCACTAGCTCAGCGCTGGACACTTCGTAAGGGCTCGGTCCCCCAGAGTGATTTCAGTTCTGATTCTGATTCCACTGCTAAGCAGGTCAGAGTGTTCTCAGGAGACATGGCTTTCCCCATGGCCTTTGGCCCGTGAGAAGGAGCTCAGAGCATCTGGGGGTCTAGGTGGAGACACGGTGACATGGTCTAACAGAGGCATTAGCTCATTCCTGTTGAAATTGTTGATTCTCTCTCCAGATCTGGCTGGGGGGAACAGTCTCAATCCTCATTTTACTGCTGCTTCTTCCTGCTTCTCTCCCATGGTCCACGGGACTAGTTCCACCTGGCACCTCTCCCTGCCCAGCCTACAGGGAGGTGGTGCCTGGGAACGCTGGACCAAGATCAGGCTCATAGGGGTTCTGCTGCTGCCCTAAAGCTCTAGGTTGAGAGTTGACTGACGAGCCATTCCTAGGACTCAATTTATTCATCTGTGAAACAGGGAGGAAGGCAACCCTCTCTAGAGAAAGGAAGGGATGCAATTACTATATTGTGGGAAATACTGATCCACTCTTACCAGAAACCTCTGTCCCTTTAAGGTGTGGTGTGGAAGACCAACAGGGCATCCTTGAAACAGTCCTGGACTTGTAGTCGGAGGATTA